GTTATATTTTTGCAAAGTAGGGTTCTGAGAAATTTGTTTACTGAAGATTTACAAGGCGCTTTATTTTTGTTACGGGAATGAAAGCAACGGACGACCTTGGATAGATAGCGTGATATCGTAGGTGGTTCGATAAAATAAGAGGTAATTTGCAATAATCGTGTTGCGCCATTAAAAAGATTAAATTATAGTTGCTTGCTTAAATATAGTTGCTTTCTTCCCAAACGATCACGACAGTTTCTGAAACAAACGTTTTAATTTACTCGTCACTTGATAGGACCGACTTCAACCTTGAAGGAATAATAATCGTCAAGGTGTATCGATCATAAGCAGGAAATGAGCACATTACAATCAATCGATCACATAACAAATATGAAGTCGCATGATTGCCTTGGATGATAGCGATGCATGATAAGTACTTCTTTGTAAACAGGACATTAATAACCGCATACGGGAAATCGATAAACAATATTTTCACATTTAAACGCGACGTCTAAAAAATATTGCGCGTCATAAGTTTTATTATTTTTTATTATGTGCTTTTTTAAATTAATTTCGTTATAAAGGTTTTCCGAGGACAAAACGTTAGGCATTGGTTCAAGGCATTGGGTAATTCGTTAACTCGATTAAATCGAAATTAAAGCGAATTAGTGTTCGCCAAGTATATTGTGAATTATGTCAATCGATATTGGCGCGATCGAACGCGAAAGCGGTATTCGGCTAATTTGGAATTTGAATTGTTGTGATCTCGCACGGCCCAGAATTTACTCTTCCGTAAGTTCACAAATCAACTGAATTTATCGCAATAAATTCGAAGACTCCCTCGCTCCAGTACCTTCATCCGGTACCACTCTATTCCCCGACGATGAATTGGGTTTTCAAGCCAAGAACAGGCCCAAATAGGGAAGCTAAGCCGCTCTCCCTTGGCAGAGAAGGGCGGGGAGGACTTGCCCTCGTCGAAATGGAAAGTAACGATCTGACCCCGTCCCAGGAGGGAACGTTGAACCCGAACCTTCTGTCCTGCGGTATCTTACATTTTTAAGCGTAGTCGTATGGTCTCTCTCTCTCTCT